AGAAAAGTGGAATATAAATAGGATATTGTTCATTACAATTTTAAATTAAATATAATTTCTAAAAACTTTGCCTGGAATATTAAGATCAGTGGGAGACACCCTAACAATCATAATGCTCAGTTAATTAGAATGAGACTAGCAAAATTTTACACATACAGTAGAAAAAGTAAAGTCTCAAAGAAAGTTAGGAGTTGTAGATCAACTAACATATCTAAAATTTCTCATTTAATAGTTCTGGTAAGAATTTTAATGGTGATATTTATCTCATCTGCATCCCACTGAACCTGGTTCCATTACATAATGAATGTCTCTAATAAAACAGTAATGTCTTCAAGTAAACATGTCTTTAGGATAAAATTATTTTTAAATTAAAAGCCCATTAGAACCTGGGATGAATATTCTAGTCTCCAATAACTGGCAAAACAACTTGAAAGAAGTGAGTTACTTGAAAAGGAGGACAGTGCTGAGTCAGTTTCAAAAGAGAGCCATGGGAAATCCCTAACTGCAGTAGTGACTCAATTGAATCATCTTGCTGCTGAGGTAAAAGTCAGTGGTTTCTTTATGTAACTCAAAACCTAGTCTTTGTTTTACTTATTTATAGTTTGTTCAAATAAGAATCTCCAGAAATTGTGAGGAAGGAAGTATTGAGAGAAACCTGGATGCAAATTGCACTGTTTTCTATTTAGTAGCAATAAAGGAATGTTATAAAATGAGTGCTATAGCAGTAAATGGAATGTTATAAAAAATTTGACATGAAATTACCTACTAATGAAAGTACAAGTTTGCTACTAAACACAATTAACACTGATGGGAACTTTACTATATCTCATCTGTCACTAACATAATTTTGGTAAAATTATAAAGGTTGGGCATGGACAAGAGCCCAGCCATTGGGGCCACCTTAAACACCTCCAACTGGATTTCATCAAACTACCTTTGAGTTTTTAATATGTTTTGGTCATTGTTTATTGCTGGGATGTTTGACACCTTTCCTAGACAGGGAGCTAAACTCTGAAAGTAGAAAAAAATTTATTGATTTTGTTTTTCTAACCTGTGGAATTCTGACCTGTTTCTAGTGATAATCCATTTTATTTAGCTAATTACAAATACATTTTATAAAGCCCTATAATTTATTAAGAAAATTTACTGTCATTTTCACCCTAAATCTTCAGGAAAGGTGAGAGAAAACAAATCCTGAAAATTGGAAATTATTGGTTTGGTTTTATCTGACCCTTTGTTTTATTTCTCTGTATTTCACATATGAGTGAAAATATCTGTTGTTTGCTTCTTTCTTCTTCTGACTAATTTTGTGAAATATTTTATTAAGAATTTCTGTAACTATATTCATTGAGGGTATTGGTCTGTAGTTATCTTTTCTTGTAGTACCTTTGTCTCACCTTGGCATGAGCATAATGAAGGACTTGTGAGTGTGAATGTTACTGCCTTAACTTTTTTTATAAAATACAAGAAGAATTGACACTACATTTCCCTTAAGTTCTTGGTAGAATTCACCCTTAAAGTCATCTGGTCCTGGCTCTCATAGAAAATCAGGAGATTTAAAAATTTCCTGACTCATTCTCCCTACTAGTAATTCAGCTTTTTCTATTTCTTCCTGATACTGTCTTGGTAAGTTGTAAATTAAAAAAAAAATTTCCATTTCTTATAGGTTATACAGTTTGTTAGTATAGAATTATTAGCATAAGTTTGGGCACTTTGCTCTTGGCTGAGAAAAGTAATGCAAAATGAACATGGTCCTTTTCACATTGTGTTGCAGGGGACAGATGAGTGATTGTTATAGGCCTAATGATGCTACACAACTTCTATTTCATGAAATGCCTTAATAAGTGATCGTACAACAACAAAAAATAATAGGAAAGGATTGACACATAGGAAGGATTAACAACTTCCTTAGACAGCTGAAATATGATTGGTATTATGTAGTAAGTGATAAGGTTTGGATTGATCTATTGATTGATGATACCTCAGATTGTAAATCAGATGTTCATTGTCTATTTTTGAGCTCAGGTTCAAGACTACCAACAAATGACACCTGATTCCTGCTGTAATTATACAGCTTATTGTCTTCATTAGCATAAAATTGCCATTCTATAGTTTTCATTAACATAACTTACTATTCCAGAAAACTCTTGTCCAAAAGATAAAAGCTGTAAATGGCTTTACTGCTCATTCTGGAAACTTATTAAATAAAAAGTATCAAAAGATAGCTTATAAATCAAGACTCTCAGAATCCCTTGCTTTGCTCTAAGTCCTAAATGATTGATTACATAATGAGCTTTACCAAATTCTAATAAACTCTTCACATTAAAAGAGCTGTTTTAAAATCAAACTTCAAAATATCATAAATATTCTGAGTTTTTTCTTTTATTTCTGAGACTGAGACTCTGACACTGATGACCCACAAACATCTTAAGGGTAACGGTAATGGGAATTAATGATAATCCTCACAAAATGTAATTTTAAGACTTTGTGGAAGTAGAATATTCCCTTATCATAACAAGAAAATGCAGTTTTAATGTCAACAAATTGTTTGGGCAATATATATTTATAAAGATTTATTTATTTATTTATACAGAACTGGGGTACAGGCCAGAGGTGCAGGGGTGGTAAGAGGATTCACCAGAGACAGAGTGGGGAGCAGGCCAGGAAGATCAATGCCTCAGCAGGCAAGACGGAAGAAGTCTGCTGCGCCATGTGGATCACCTCTGGGGCTGGGAATTTAACTCACACAGAAGAGGCTGTGCTAACTTGCAGTGCTGCATCCTAACACATTGTGCCACCAGGGAGGCCTGTTTGGGCAATATTTTTGAGGAATCAAAGGATAGTTAACTTTTTTGCAACAAATTTACTAAAGTTTACTGTTCCTTGGACAATTCTACAGACCCCTATTAAGTTCTAATGCTTCTCCTATCTTCACGATACACTAATCTGTTTTGACACATTTTTATATATGCTAAAAGAGAAGCTGATTGTAGTTTTCTTTACATTGGTTGGTTATATTTTGAAACTGTTTTCTTGTTAATAGTTAACTTAATAAATGAATATTTGAAAGATTTGTAACTTTGCATTGGAAGAGTAGAACTCAAGGAAGGCTTCACAAAGAAAATCACACTTGAAGAATATTAAGTGATGAATTAGAATTTCTAAGAAAATAAAGTGACTGGATATTTATGCAAAGAGGTGGGGTACAATCTAAAAGAACAGAGGCAGAACATACCATGAAAAAATGATTAAGTGGTGAAGAAACTGAAAGAGCTGAATTACTGCTAATGGGGTCTATATAACTACAAGAATTGTACATGGCAAAGGAAGAAAGAAAAGATGACTGTAGACTAAAAAAACACTGGGATATTGAAGTTAAGAGGTTCAATTTGTGGCAATGAAAGAATCCTGTACATCTATGGGGATGAATCTTAAACTTATAGAAATCACAGAACTATGGATCTATAGTGTTCAGTGTGCTCCCCACATGGGTCAATGTGGCTATATGGGCCATCTTCATGACTGTTTTATCCTAAGAAGACATGATCAGAAAAACATGAAACCATCATGAGGACCATCCATAATTAATAGCCAACAATGCAGGAAGAGCACAAAAGAAATAAAAGGTGATCTGAAAAATAGAAATCCTATATGTGAAAAAGGTTTCAAGGATATTTTTTGCTCAGTGAGAAATTATTTTTGTCCCTAAGTACCTTAATCACTATTGATGACCCACCAACATCTTAGGAGAAATGGTAATGGAAATTACATCATAATCATCATAAAATATAATTTTAAAGTTTATTTATTGTTTTTGTTTTATTTTAATGAAAATTGATTCATGACTTCTCTGACTCATATTTCTCACATTTAGGTCTTAGTAAGGAATTATAAATCTTTAAATCTCACTTAATTGAACATCCTTCCTCTGATTCACATATCTGCCAGATATTGTAAAAACCCACAAAAGTATACAAGCTAAACATATCTGATTACATTTTATATGACTCTAGTCTAAAAGTGCTAGGCAAACAACTGCTGAGTGCTTGCCTCACAAATCAAGGATTTAATCTAAGGTAACATATTCACAACATTAGAAAAGGGAAGCAATTTAATTAAAGAAAATACAATATGAGATTTTACCCATTTGAAGTTTTTCAATTACTTTTTTTTTTATTAAATAATACAGATATACTACTAGAAATATAAATCATCCTATTTATTAAAAGTCCCAATGGCATAAGTATCCAGTGGAACCATTAGTATGGTATATCTGTGCCTCTCCTGATAAAGTTCAGGAAGAAAATAGTATGATATCATCAATATTAAGTGACAGGGAACAACATTAAAATAATCACCATATATATATATTCATATAGCACTTTTCTCTTAGAATCCCAAAGTTTTTAAGAAACAGACTTCAATGTTAAATAATATCAAGGATACAGGTAAGGAAAAGCTATTTTATAAAAAGTTCCTTTCTATAAGACTGGAAAATGAATAAAACATAAAATTAAATGACTTAATTAAATGTTATTAGTGATCAAACAAAAAAAACCAAAGTTTTTTTCATCCTTTGTTGAGGGCACTGTGTTCTGAAATGTGCTCTCTGAAAAGGTAAGATATTTCAGGAACTCATATTTACAAAATAATTATAAAGTCCCTCCTAGAAGTCACTTTTCTTTTTTCTATTTCTTTCTAGATTTATATTTGTAGTTTGCATTTAGTCTGTTTTTAAATAGCTTTTTGGCCTTCATCTTAGAGCCACTTACTAATTCCTTAAGTATGCGTGAAATCAAAGTTCTGCTGTCAGCTTTCAAAAACACCTGGAATAAGGGGAGTTTTCATTGATATATTGATATTAACTAATATTTTAGAAAGTCTTAATATTCATATTTCTCCATTGCTCTTTTTCATTCTATCACCAAAATGTTTTTCTCTTCTTTCCTTGGAACTCGAGCTCTAATTCATTAGTCCATCTGAAATAATGACACACTTACTGGCTCTGAGAATGTTCTCCTTGCTGCTGCACCTGGACTGGACCTGCAGAGAGAGCATAAACTCAGTAATTTAGGGCTCATCACATAGATTAAAATTAGATACATATGCATATTTAATGGGCAAGCTCCTGAGGTCTAGGAGCAAAGGCTTTACATAACTTGAATCATAACATGTTAGTGAAGCTATTATATTTGTAACATACATTTTGATTTACATTTTTGTTACTCTAACAAAAAAATGGGTTCTAGAAAAATTTGGGGGTACAATATTGTGAGTAGTATATATGTAACACATCAAGCAAATTTTAAAATTCACATGTATTTGAAATTACCATAAGTAAAACAAATTCAAGTTACCACATATTCAATTGTGAATATACACCCTTAATCGAAAGGCACTGTATCTATCCCTTGACTTGAATAATAATGCAATTCAAGGAATAAAGTTGTAACCAAGTATTCCATGGTAGTCATTTTTAGTTATATATATTTATGAGGAAAATGAACAAATCCTTGGACACATTTATGTGTGATTCTAATAACCTTTTTAAATTTATTGATTATAATAACTGACAATAATTATAGTATGGTTATGACAGATGCTTATTTAGGAAATCAATAAAGTTTAAATCATTTATTTACCAATCCTTAGTTGTACATATAGTTTATCAATCAGAAATTCTGCTGTTTTCAAATACTTTAGATCATAGTGGAATGTTTTTTTGAAATGTTATGAAACTATTGAATTCAGGGGCCACATTGGATGGCATTAATACTTTAAGAGAAACTGTATTTAAATTTCACACCTCCTCTTCCCACTCCACAGCAGCTTGCCCCCATGGATATATACATAACAAATTAATTTCTATTGCTTAATACAATCTACTACTGTAATGAAACAACTTATGAAAGGAATGTTGCAACTTAGGGTGGGTTATGGTTATCCTTCCCTGAAAAAAATAATTGTTAATGTTTAAAGAAATAACAATAATAATAATTAAAAAAACCCACAAACATACACAAAAGAAACACACACACACACACCAAGAAAGTAAAACAGGGAAAAATAATTCCAGACATTGAATTTATTCTCTTTTGGCCCAGATTGTTTAATTAGTTTTTAATACATTAGAATGAGGAAGCTAATCAGGAAGATAATAATATAAGGTTCTTTATCTGAGAAATTTTATTAAAGAACAATTCTGGACCAAATGGGAAAGAAATTAATGACTAGCTAAAGAAACAATAAAAGGAGTAAGACACAAGAGTAAGGGAAATAAAAAAAAGAGAGAGGTTTGAGGAATTAACTCCAGACAATAGAAAAGAAAGTGTAGACCTAAAGGAAGGGACAATATATGCAGAATATTCTGCTATTTCTTACTGAAGATTTATACTAAGAGGTATAAACAGCAAGTTGGCAAATCATGGAATGAAAGTGTAACTACACAACCACAGTCTTAAAGGAGAAAATAAAAACTAACACGAATAGACAAATTAATAGATAAGCTTAACAAAGAGATAAACTGCGTTTAAAAAGAGAGTCTGAGAACACAAGAGAAAGCTAAAGGAGTGAGAGAAAATCTGGAAGAAGGAAAAGAAAGGGATAAATGTTGAAAGACAAAACAGAGTTCAAAGAAGTCAAATGGAAGTCAAGAAAGTCTTCAACAAGAGGTAGAAACAGAAGGAGCCCAAACCCATAGCGCAAAGCATTGTTTGCGAATGGAAAGCAGCTCCTTTAATCCGTAATAGTTACTCTTAAGTCGTAGCCTCTATTCCTCCAGAGTTCATCTTTAAGCCCTTCCAATCTAGAGTGGAGCTAGTGTATGGATAGAAACAAGAGATTTATAATGAACAGAGCAGTTTAGATGAGTAGTTCAAATTGTCTCATAAAATGTTGCAACAGATTTATATATTGTCTAAATGGAAATGATGAAAAACTAGCTGTCTACCAAAACAAAACAAAAAATAATAACAAAAAAATACCCTCTTCCTTTGGCGGCGAACAAATTTAAAAAATAATTTATGGTATGAATTTAATAAAGAAAACCAAGTGTTGTTCTGTGAGACCTCAGTTTAGAAATACATATTTTAAAGAGTTGTGAAATGAAAATTTGGATGATGGAAACAAATTCTCTGAATTTGAGCATTTTTCTAGGTTTGCAAGTTGCTAACTGTAGTATAACCAATGTTTTCTTATTTACTTTCATTCATTGGCCATTTGACCCAGACTTGGGGGAAATTATTTTTAAAATAAATGATTGATTACATGAACTTCTTTACTTTAGTGAACTGAATATATATTTTAAAAGCCGAGGAAAATGTTTTTAAAAATTCTAGATTTATTTATGCATGAACAGAATGTTGCTGTACCTTACATTGTTAAATCGTAATTTTTATAAAATCCCAGCATGAAGATTTTACCTAATAATGAAGGAGATTTACTTGAAAGAATAAAATTGAGAGACAAGTATTCTTGTTCTTACACTTATGTATTATGAGGAAGTTATCACAAGTCTATCTCAAGTTTTATATTGTTGTTTCTTTATCTTAACCTTTTTTTAATTCAATGAAAAAAGGAATGTCTGAAAACAAAATAAAACTGAAAATTTGGCCTAATATAACATTTATCAGGAATTTAAAACAAAATATATAATATCAGGTTATCTTTTACTTCATTCTATTGAATTTTTATTTTACTATCATTAATACCTGACTTCACAGTGTTGACAATTCTCCTTTCAACTGGATCAAAGCTATAATAACCTGTAGAAATTCTATTATATTAATGGAGGAAATAAGAAACAAGAGACTTACTGAAAATATTAGCATTGATTTACTAATCAAGACTGCTTTCAGTCATCAAATAATTCATTTTAGTTAATTGTGTTACATGTGTAATATAATTATTGCTGAAAATCACGTTGTCCTTTAAGATATCTTAATCCATGAAACAGGAAGTAAAAGAGGCTAGAGTACATATAATAAATGGTAAGGGAAAAAAGTGAAAATGCTCTAAACAAAGCTGAGAAAATTTTAACCATAATCTTTAGATACAGTTAGAGAAATGACTTACCTTATGCTTAGGTCATAACAAGAATAGCACAGTGTTTAAAGTCAGCTCTTCATTATGGGAGGTACAATTGAAAGCCAAAGGTTATAATAACATGAATTGCTACATAAAAATGAAGACTTTTACAGCCCAACATGAAAAGCTAACTCTAATGGGAGAACATTTCAACATGAAAAACAACTGAAGGTGTAAACATCAAAACATGAATCTCACACCAATAAGAAATGGCCCCATCTTTCAGGAACACAGAAGATTCAATCTGTGACCATAATTAGTGACACATAAGGGAAGGCACATTACTCTAACACTGACATATGCATGCATAATGTATCACCATCCATGGACAATCACCCCTCCCCACCCAAACTCCCATTCCATTGGTACAAACACAGCCCCTTAAGATACAGGGAAAGAATGTATTGCCAAGCTGTTATGAAGAAAGCAGGACACACATAAGCACAGCAGTGGTCATGTGGTTTGAGAGGTTTCCTTCCTTAAACCAGCCCATTACCATGCTATTTTTTAAAAAAAATTAGGAAAAGATCCCCTTTAATGCTGCAGTAGCTACGAGCCCCCAGCTTGAAGCTAGTGTGTGGAATTTTGATTACCGTTCCCTGCGATGTCAGGGGCTCTCTAGTGGAAGCCAGATATTTAACACCAGTTAGTGGGGTACAATTGCAAATAACAAACATCCTTGCCCTTCTGTATTTCACAGAAGTGAGGGTGAGAAATAAAAAATAAAATCCATATTAAGAATAGGTTTATAATAATATAAAGATGCATAAATATTAACATGGAGATTACATTTGATTGCAAGTTAACACTCAGGTTTCATAAAAATTGCCTATATTTTGCTGCTCATTAGGCTAAGTTGTTTTCTTTTTTTCTTGTAAAGAGTTGGACTGAATCCCTATACTATTCTCATATTGCAAAATTATGAGGACTGGTTAGGTGGAGTCAAAGTCAAGAATAAGATAAGTGATTGTTTTTGAAGGACATTAGGAAAATCCTCTATTTTAGTTGTTTTTTTTCCCTAGTCTTTTTTTAATGGTCAGCAGCCACATTTTAAATTAGAAATTAAATGAGTGTATTATATATTTTGTTTACTTCTATATTCTGAGTTCTATTCCAATGGTGTAAAAGGCTTACTTAAATTTTAATCTTTTCACATTTTAAAGCAAACAACAAAAAAGACTGCCTATTTATAATCTATTATTAAGTTTCCTATATACTTTTTTTATTACTAGTAAAATTTATTTTTACATGGATTGTCTCTGTCAAAAATAGGATCATATAGGTTCATTAGGAAAAAATTCAAGTTGACTGTCCTACTAGTAATGATAGTATTTAATCTACTTCAACATTTTATATGAGATGAATTTTGGTTCATAAGGTGGCATATAATTTAGTTATCAAATTTTTTTAAAGATTTATTTTATTTATGCTTATAGCACTGGGGTATAGGCCAGAGGTGTGGTGGGTGAAAGGATTCACCAGAGACAGTCGGGAGCAGAACAGGCAGATCTACTGAAATACACTGCTAAAGGGAGTAGCGGGCAGATCAGGAGAAGTGTGCTGTGCCATGTGGGTCAGCTCTCTGCAGGGGATGGAACTCATGCTGCAGTGGCTTTGGAGAGCTTCATAATGCAGTGCGTAAACCCACTGTGCCACCAGGGAGAGCCCCAGATTTTTAATTGTTCAAAAATCATCTATTTATATTATCATTTTCTTTCCCTCATCCTATTCTTAGCAGGTCAGAATATGTTGGTCTTCCCTCTAGATGTCTATTCTTTTAGGCATTGGGTCCTAGGACATAAGGCAAAGTCTGTACTAGCTTTTCTACAACTTTCCTTGTACTTTAAATAAGCCGAAATACCTTTCCCTGAAATAACCTTATTGCTTAATTTTGATCCAAATATTACTTATTTGTTAAGATCTAGCTTAAATACTAACAGCTGCAAAAAATATTCCCC